GATTTTAAGATCAATCCAGCATTTTACTAGCTACTAGCACGTTTTATTCTTTCCTAAAAATAATATATTAGACTAGTAGCAACGCGACGTATCTGAAGTGAAATAGAGGAGGATTGGGGGATAAGGTTTGCCCTGTCCCCTCAGTTCAACTCCGACTTCTGCAGTTTAAAATCAAGTCGGTTATTTGCATATTAATGCTTTCAGTTCTGATGTCAGGTGGTTGGTTTACTTCCTAGCTCGCTTAGTTTAGATTTCATGTCTTCTCCCGATCCTCCTGTGGAAAATCATTATATAATGTAAGAGGTCGTTACCAGCCGCGCTTCGCTTGGCTGGGGCTCGCTTCGCTCGCGATTAATAGATTCTCTCACCTGGGAAGTGCAATGCGCGGCTCGCTGGTGAGCTCGGCGCTGGGCCCGCCTCCGCAAATACCGCGCGGCCCTGCTTCGCGGGCTCCCCGCGCGGGTTTGCTGCGGCTACGCGTCCTCGCCTTAGTTGGCGCCATAGCTGCGTCGCCCCTCCCCGGAAGGTGCTATTATGCGTTTGAGACGGTGTTTTTGGTATTTTGTCCCTCTGGTTTCAGTGGCCACCATCACTCTGACGTGCGCAATTATGGACTTCCAAATTTTAAATGTCGCTCTCTACTGTAGAAATTGCACTCACAGGAAAACCGCAAAGTAAGTGACCTATCCACACGGGAGTTGAATATTACTACAGTATGAAATGCACTCGAGCAGAGAGTTGATTAAAGTCGAAAAAACGGACAGTTTATGATATCGGAGATTGCTCGCTGTTGTCGCTTGCTGCGTGCCTTCTTTCAATGCCCCCCCCACCTCCTACCAGAGTCTCCGTATTACACCCTCTCTTCCGAAGCAGCTCCCAAACGATCGTGGTGCCAAGCTCCTCGTCGGCTTCTTATGTCTCCTCCGTTAGGACATTAAGTACCACGTTGAGGTTGCCGTCGCTCTTCTCCAGAATATTGATGACGCGCGCCGGGCTGGTGTTCGGAAAGATGCCACTCACAATGGAGAGCTGCTCGGCCCACTTGACCTCGGCCTCGGAGAAGGCCACTGACGATGCGATTGACGGCGTTTCCTCCGTCTCCTGAGCAGGCGAGGCTGCCCCCACTGGTGCGGGCAGCAGGGTGACTACTTGCGGGTTTTGGGCCGATAATTTCTGCTCCGGCTCAGGTGCAGACACGGGTGCGGCGAAGGGTGCGGCTGTTGCCTCTCCGGTCTTTTTTTCTGGGATAAAGTGGTTAATCTGGCCTACCAGACCCTGGGCAAAGCTGGAGAAGACGCCGGCCGCCGTCTTGGGCGACTCAGCGTTGTCCTTTTCCGTCTGGTTCGGCGTCACGATCGTGTTTGGGCGCGACACTTGAGGTGAAATTAGAGTCCCGCTTTAGCTGCTCGAGTGTGACGGCAAGTGCCTGCATGAGGTGCTCCACGGACTTGACAAGGGGGTCCGCAACCCTGATCCTGAAACTCTACTTGACGTCGTGTAGCAGCCGAGAATTTAAGCGAATGTAGAGGCTCAGAGGAGCTTAGGAAAACGCGTAGGGCCTCCTGGAACTCGGCGTCCGTCGTCACATTGACACTGTCACCCTCGGGGTCGCGGTACTGCACCACGAAGTCGCCCACAGGCAGACGAAAAGTCTGCGCCATAAGCTGCGTGAGCTCAGCCAGCGAGAGGCAGCGCAGCTCGACGCGAGTGCGGTGGATGTCCCCACCGAATGCGATCTTGAGCGCTACTTGCTGCGACGCCATCGTAGCGTTTTTGGTGTAACCGGTATGTGAGAATTCGGAGAAGGAGCCTTTGTCTTACTGTAGGATCCTTTAAGGATAGGGCTAAATCCAGACTTACCGGGATTCGTCGAAATGATTAGCGCTCGAAGTGCGACACGACAAGATCGCAGCTTACTGAAACCAAGATATTTACCCCAAGCCAATGGCCATACCCAAGTAAGGACGTACAAAAAATGCACTAATTTCTTATACTCAGATCCCAAACTAACGTTGTAAAAAAAAAAAACCAAATAATTAGACTGGAGTACTTGAAACACCTGTTATATACGATCTAGATTGGATTGTCATAACAAAATAGTGGGGTTTCTCTCTGAACGTGCATAATGTATCATTTCCGCTTGTATCTGAAACAACACACTTACTCTTGTATGTCTGATATCCTTTGTATCAGTGATACTTACCCAGGTGAGTGTTGCTTGTGACAAAATCACTGAATAATGACGATTAGCCGAAATAACTTGATCCGCGTGATTGTTGCCCCAACAGACTTCAGCTTATACTGAGCGCAGATGCTGTGGCCAGGTATTGGCAGTAACGCGTATTTTCTGATATAATGTCTAGATTTGAGTATCTGAGCTACTGATAGTATCAGTACCTCAGCCATCGACTTCTGTTTTACTGTTACGGCAGTACCATAGTACTGCTGAAGAATGATCATTCGAATGCAGTGAGTTCCGATCTGAGGCTCTGTTCTCCAATGTCATCAGCCAATGGTTGGCTTTGGACGACCTTGGTACCTTGTACCAAATATCCCGAAGTGTCATACTTCATGTAACCAGGGGTACACTTAAGGCTACGTACCCCGTTACATCCCCCCACTTAGGCTCGGTTTACCGACCAATCAGAATGGAGAAGTGTTTGTCACAAATTTTCATTCTCATAAAGTCGAAAAACATCGACTTGGCCGCGAGCGCGGCGGAGGCTCACTTCATAGTTAGAGCCTCGAACAGCAGTTTGTGCGCTCTACTTCTTGGTCCCCACTTCGACCGTTATCATGCCTCGTGGCACTGCAAAGAGCGGTGCGAAGACACGCTCCAAGGCTGCTGCCGGTAAGGCGCAAGCCAAGAGCACTAAGCCTCACGGCAAAGGTGTGGTGTAGCAGGATCAGCAAAATCTGCGAGATTGCCAGATCCAACTTACCAACTGCGCCCAGACACCGACTAACGGAGGGGGTCCCCCGATGATCCGTGTTCTGCTGAACTTTCCTCACCTTGTGTACCCGTCGGTAGGGCGGGATCTTGCTCTCTCGGTAACTTCCGAAGAGTTCAAGTGGTGAGGCTTGAGTGTCTTGGCGAGACGTGGGGATGGGGTGGAGCAGCAGTGGAAAATCTTCACTCTGCGTCCGTGGGTGGTTCCGAATCCTAAGCGAATATTCGAGCTTATGGATCCGGGGCCTAGATCGTGGATCTGGCCGTAGGGTTGCCTTGCGGGTGTGTCCCTTGCCTTTACGTTTCCTTTGCGCTGTACTTGCCGCCTCCTGTGACGGGATCTTGAGAGTTGAGAGCCTCTGGGGTATAACCGACCAACTAAATTCGGTTAACCTGTCGGATCTGCACAAGTAAAGGAAAAGCTTACTAGGTTGTAGGATCTGGCCAATGTATTATCCAGTTATCACTACCAACATTAGATTCGCAATTCCCAACCTTCTCCGAGCTCGTACGGCCAATGTAGTTCCGGTTCTTGAGGGCAGGAAGGCACTTGCGTGATACTGTGCAAATTAGGTTCTGTATTGATACTTAAGCCTATACCTGCCTGGATCTCTACCTTCTATGTCTTTCATCTGCTATATCCCTTACCAGGCTCGGCTGCATGTCCCTTCTTCCCTTGACCCATCATCCCAGCTGTATTATCTTCAGATCCACCGGATCCATGACGTAATCATCATGGTCACCCTATTATGGGTACACTCATCCGGATCCAGGTCGCTTGGATCCACTTCACTGTAAGTTTGCACTCGTCGTAAGATCTGAGCTCTCCCATCATCCAACATCATCTC